CAGTGAGTGAGAGCATCCTAGAAGAGACCGGGGGTAGTTTGCTGCCGTCCACGTAAGCAAAATAACGTGTGTATGCACACATTTTTTCGAAGAGTGAGTGTGTATATTATACACACGTGTGACTAGTCACTCACGCAGATGTCCTGCGTTGGCCCCATGCATGCCACGTAGGAAGGAGCCGCCTGGTCATGTGACGGGTTTTGTTGTTTGGCTAAACTAGGTGCGTCGAAATTAAGCTATAACCATACGGTGAGTTGTTAATTTGCATGTATGAGCACACAGCTGTGGTCCACTCTCACTCCGGTTGTACATGTTCACGTAGTAGAGTGCGGTGTGGTGCAAGTAAGCTAGCCGGGATGTTTAGCGGACAAATCTGCATCGGCATACTACATCCAAAATCTGCTCCGATGATCGACTCTTGTTCCTTTGGATCTGGCGAAAAGGCCCGAAAGATGCAGGCTTGTCACGCACGTTGCCGGTGAGGATTTGGGTGTGCACACATAGCCAGAGCCACGTACCAATGCAATGGACAGCGCCGACCGCATAACTCAACCAGGATAGATGCTCATCTTGTTAATGACATGAACAACAAACGTGCTAAAAAAAAGAAAAGCTAAAATATAGCTCCGACCTCTGTTTTCTTTTAGATTCGCCATTGCACACACCCTAGTACCATGGGTACCTCCGAGATACTGAGCCGATACAATATATAGAGATTGATTAAGTCGTCACAGACGTCCTTGTAGTCAACGGAAACGCCGCTTCCCACTGAACGCACATTGCCTAAAGGCCTGAAATAAATCCAGTAAAATGTGGCTATCAGTGCCAAATCTAGGACTTAAACACTGATGTATCAGTTCCAATACAAAGAACCTAACCATCTGATATAGGCTCAGTTCACGCACGCACACTATTAGTAGTTATAGAAAACACTCACCTAGCCTAAGTGAACTTATGACGGTCCAAAATCTTAGATTTGTTTATTACTTCTTCTCTTCTGG